CTGTCATAGATAGCGTCACTGGTTATATCTATCTCAATCGTTGAAGTAATTTCGATAATGTCTTCGCGATATGATATTTTGACCTTCCAGGTCCTGCGTATATCATTCTTTTGTTCCCCTGAATATTTTTGGGCCAACCTAAAATTGTTCCTTTCGAAGACTGTGCGATTTCAACATCGTGCTGCTATGAGTCTTTGTCGGTCACATATTGTTTTCGTTTATGTATTCATTTGTGTAAATGTTCTTTTGTGGCTTCGAAAGGGGAACGGGTAGATTCCAAAAGTGCATGTGCTGGTTTTTGCATCAGTTTAACACTGAAGCTTCTCTCTGTCTGTCTGTCTGTCTCTCTCTCTCTCACACACACACACACATATATATATATATATATATATATATATATATACATAGATAGATAGATAGATAGATAGATAGATAGATAGATAGATAGATAGATAGATAGATAGATAGATATGAAGTTAACAAATATATGAAATAAACCAACCCAAACTCTCTCTCTCTCTCTCTCTCTCACACACACACATGAACCAAATCAGGCAGAAACTTAACTTTAAACACGTAAACTAATTAAGTAAAACATGGAATTAAAATAAATAGAAGCCACACAAAGCACCTCTGTGTGCTCAAACAAATGAAATTTTTGTAATGTATTAAAAGAAAATATTAAAGACACTGAACAATGTCATGGCAAAACTATTCGTTTAGAGCACCTGTCACAATTGAATATTAATACAATAGTTAGCGTCCTAACTTTCCCATCTTTTGTTCGAATCGAATAAAATTGTGTTCGAATGCATCGTAATGTTCTGTTTGACTGGTCTTTTTAAACCATCGAAATAGACTAAAAGTCTCTTAATTGCCAATTATATTTCAATAGAAATGGAAAATAATGCAATTTCATTCCAAGGAAAGCCTTTATAGTAAATGTCTCTAGTTACAAATCCAACCTTTTTCGGTTTACTATTGAGGCTCAATAATTATGTTAATGCGCTAGATCTTGCTAGCTTACGAAGAAAGCATTATTTACCTACTGTGGTAATTGGAAAAGAACAGTTATTTTGAATGTTCTTTTGTAGGGGTATAAGAGAAACAATTCTTTGCTAGACTTAAAAGTAAAACGTATTACAAAATAGGCAAGCACATGATGTAGCAAAACTTGACGCATTATCAGATGTAATCTCCGCTTTCAATTTATTTCCATGCATGTGTCGAGAAAAAAGATAGCGGGCACTTGACAGTTGTTACTTTGATAAAATCATCCGTAAAGGAGGTGTCGCCTATCTTCGGGTGTCACCCGTGGGAGAGGTGAAATAAGATCACCTCAACATATAACTCTTTCATTTTTTGAACAGCATTCATATTTTTAATGACTTGGACTCTCAAGATAACTGAGCATGGAATATAATACAAATTGCAACTTGCGCGTTCCCTAATTATTTAATAGCTTGTCGCACTCTGAGTCATGGATTCCGGTGGATAATTCAACCGTTGTTACCCATCTCTGAAGTCTAATGAAAAGAATATTCTAAAGTTATGGAGTATCCCTTAATACAAAGAAAGAAAACAATAATAATTGTAACTTTTTTGAGGTGGTAATAAATATGTCCTATTATTTTTTTAAATGGACAAACTTATAGAAGGAAAATGCAGATATTGTTAATTTCATCATCATATTAATACATGATAAATTTCATTATATTATTCGTACTTGATGTTTTGATGCTTTCAAAGCTTTTAAAGTTACAATCTTTAATGGTTGTGATGAAAATGCAGCATGATTATAAAAATAGTGTTTGGTAGTCTTTTCTTCATTCTGCTAACTTCTCGACGATTTATGTCGATCTTCTGTCTCCTTCTTGGATTTCAATATGTCCTAGACGTTGCTGCGTGCGGTGATACAGTCTCATGGATTCTGTAATTAATCTGACATTGCTTTATTACGGGAGGACGTTAAAATGTTTCCACGCTTTTCACACCATATACAATCCAGTCCAACGCGTTAACGTCCACACGTTTTTGAGAAATTAATTGTAATAACTCCATGCGCAGTTTGATGTGCGCCGGAAGAAAGGTATTAAATTGACTCCAGGTCTTGTCACTAGTGTATTACATGCAGTAACTATTTCTTAACACATGCAGGTCAACCCCTTTTTACACAATCAACTTGTTATCCATTTTAGAAATCACTTTAGGAACGTGAGCGTAGCGTTGTGTCACGCAGATTAAGTGATTTTTTTTAACAGTGAGTGAATCCGACGCACTTAAGTTACGAATTGACTTTTCATCTGGTACAAAAAGTGACACATGGATTATATTGTGTGAAATGTCGAACAATTACAAAAGCCAGTAAGGCTATTTAGGGGGAACTTTCGAATGGACTATATGCAAAAAAAAGGAATATTCGCACCCTGTGGAACACGAAAGTAAAATTTGATGGTAGCACGCATCTGTTTACCATACAAAATGCTGGCGGCATAGTATATTGCACGTTGAATCATACATGGTGGCAAAAAGCAAACAATGTACTCGCTTGGTGGAATACAGTCCACTGAGGAGGGTCCCCGATGTAACAACTCTACATCGCTTGCGATTATGAACTCTGATTGGCTCTTAACTTCTTGCGATTTATAATAGTACACGTGATTGCTGGAAAGGTATAGCCGCAGCCGATACAATCAGCACATGAGGCCCACGATGATGTCAAAGACTTACACACTTTGTTGGCTCAAAAAAGCGTTATGGCATATTTATTTACCGGTAACAAACGTAATTGTACGAGGACGATTCAATGTCAAAACTGTCAGCCACGTTCATCATACATCTATTGAAGTACAATACCAGACCAATCCAAGCCTAACTCTCTTGCATAACTGGATAACGCAGGAAACTGATGTTGATGATATCGCCACCATTGTAATGGGTTCTGAGCACGAGGAATGGACTCCTGAATCTTATAGCTCTCAATTTCTTCAGTTTCTTTTTCAAGAACAGTCTTAGTAGTTTTCACCACTTTCACAACAATTACATCGCCAGACATGAAAGCAAGACCAGCAATAATTATCTTAGCAGAAAAAGCTCTTGCATCTGTTAGAGAAATGCAAGTATCAACATATGTATAAGACATAAACAAAACCAGCTTTTGGTAATGTGAATGAGTCAGAAGTACTTTAATGTCTTTATTCGTTTCAATTGGTGATATGTAGTTTGCTGATATCCTCAGCTGACAAAGCTGGTAATACAGGAAGAGGTGGAATATCAGTAGCTGAAACCTGTTTGCATACTGGTTTAACTTTCTTTGATTATGTTCGTAAAACGTGGATGCAGTAAGAGCCAAGATGTTTGAGACTTCAAATCGATTGTTGCTAGTCAGACAAGAGAGATTTTTAAATTGGGGTCCAGAACAGTTGATCGTTGCTTCCTTCATATCTGGTCTAAAGATCATTCACATAGATGCTTTCATGTATTTCACCGATGTTGAATCATGATCGGACGGTGCCACAAGTTTAGTCAACAGCTGGGTCCGCAGTGTAAATAATAATGGATGTTGTCGATGTTTCGACTGTACACAACACTGTTGTGATTGTCCGTAGTGGTTTCAAACAAGCCAATACTTCTTCAGCATTGCTAATATTAGTTTCCTACAAGGTACTTACATCTTTGTTCACACTGCGAATCTCTAGGCTGGTAAGGGCAGCATACTGTAGTTCCAGAAATCTTTAATTTATGTCAGCTGCTGAGTTTCATCGGATACAATCATCTTGGATTAGTTTGTGTTTGTGTTTTGGTAAGTTTAGGAGCTCAGTTTTGTTTCTTAGTATTCCTGCAGCAACTGCACTGCGGTGAAAAAAGCTGACTATTCTTCTGATCCTGCCAAGATGTCTGCTAACATCATTGATTTTCATGACTTTTTTTGGGTAGCTAAATTTAAAGTGTGTGCATAACAACCAATATGTGGGTTATATCCTGCTTCTAATAATGATGCAGCTATGTGTGATGCATTATCAATTGCCAGTGAAGGATTGGATGGAATTACCGGTTCATTGACAGCTGACAACAGAACTGCAGCAATATTTTCACCTGTGTTACTCTCAGGTAGAGCCTGTGTTTGTAGCACATAACTCTAAAGTTTTCAATCAAGTGAAACAAAACATGCTGTTACTTTAACATACGATTAAGTAGCTCTGGAAGTCAAACTGTCAGTTGTTAATGCAACTTTAGATGCTAAGCGCAAGAATGCTTTTAAGTCTTCCTTAACTGTAAATACAAATCTGGGATAATTTTCTCAGAGAAGACCTGTTTAGATGGCACAACATACCGTGGATCAAGCACCAATATCATGTTTAAAATGCTTTGTTTGATACAACACTGTACGACCTCAAATCGTGAACGATAAAACTAGTGCTGGCACGTGTCTGCCTCATGCCTCTGTATATCAAGCTATTTAATAAGTGCGACCTTTGACTAAAACGCAATTCTTGAAATGTTGCCATATGCATTGGCAGCTTTAATGGCTTTAACTTAACACGTATTTAGTCTATTATTTGAACAAACAGAAAGTGCGTGACTGCAATTGATGTCTGCGAACAATTCGAAGATCTGCAATCAAACTTTCCTCAAATGTAAACGTATTTACGTTGAACATAGGTCAGCTTTTAGAAGGTTTTTGATCTATGCTGGCCCATCACAGTAATTTCCAATCAAATGTAACTGGGTATTATTGTTATCTTTATTAATTTAATACCATGACTTACCTTTCATTCATCGACTACAATTTGTTTCGAGGTCGCTAGTAACAAGGAATTTATAGACTCAGTGAACATCATATGACCCATCGGTAAAGTCAATATAATGCGTCAATTCAATTATCTTCCACTTTATGGGTAATAACTTAGACAAGAAAATTCTGATGGTATTCAAGTTTCTTTTCACTAATCCAAATCAAACGAAAACTTAGAAATCTTTACTTAAGCGAGAAATCAAATGACCATTCAGGTGGCTTAGTGGTTATAGCGTCCACATCGAATGCAGGAGGTCGTGGGTTTCAATCTCTCCCGAGTCATACCAAAGACTTATAGAAATGGTACTAGCAGCTTCCTCTCTAGGTGTTTAGAATTAAAATGCTAGTGTTAGATTTGGACGACACAGTGTCGGGATAAAGTGACTTGGTGGGAGATGATGCTACAGTGCAGATATCACCATGAACTCTCAATGCAAAATTCGTAGAGACATGGCAGAAAATTGTTAAAGTTAGGTTAAAAATCCAAATAACACACACACACATCCACACGCACATACAAAAGTAAATGTCGCACTGGATGTGCTATCTAACCATACACAGATAAGTGTACATCAGGCGTGAAAAACTTTTTGATTATCTTACAGAAATTATTGATAATAACTATGTATTAATCCATACAGGTGAAACTTAAATTACAGAAAAATTTCATGTTGATAGCGAATACGCAGCATTTTTTGTTTAGTGTTTTTTAGTACGCACAGTCTAGTTCCTTTGATGAAGTTCCACCTAGGATTTCCATTCCTGATAAGTATTGACTTTTAAATCTGTGACGAAAACTATTGGTGTTGATGAACTCTTTTCCTAGTGGCACTTATGCCCAATAAAACAATGACTCCACAGGCATATTCAAATTATCTATTATATATAGTCTTTTTAACTCCAGATTTTCTACTATAACAAATGCACATTTGTTTGAACTACGGAACAAATAGAACATTTGTTAAATTGTGTGTGTATATTTTACAATTGCTATATGTACATTTTTTTCCAGTTAAAACGTGTTTCTTCTGACCACCATTTATTTAGTAGTTTATATAGTAGTAGTGAACTGGGACGATATAAGGACAATGGGAATTAGCATTACAAGACCCATCTATGGCCCTATACGGTGAAGATTTATATGGACATGGAATGTATGGACAAATGGTTGGGACTGTATACAGACAAGGGAAATTGAACATAGGGAATGTATTAGGACTGCATAAGGACAATATAAATTGAATAGAGATGACGTCACGAGACTGTACACTGGCAACAATGTTGCGAGTGGTTGACCTCAATCGGCGGAACAGAGTGGCAAGGGGCTGACCTAAATACGCGTTACTCTACGCACAAATAGACACATATAAAATTAGACTTGGTTAGAGAAGGGTTAGAAAAATAGACAGAGACAGACATATTACACAAAGATAGATTTATGGACACAATAAATCGACTAAACAATTTTTAGGCAAGAGAGAATAGCTATCTTTCCCATGCAATGGAGTGGCCCTGAAAAGAGCCTTTGGGTTTCTTCCTTTTGTTCTTCTAATTTCAATCTTCTCTTGTTCTCCTCCACCAACTTCTCCATTTCTCCATCAAATTTTTATCTTCTTTTTCCCAGTTTCTTTCTCCTCCTCTTCTTCCTCATCTTATTTTCCTTTTTTCATTATCCTCTTTTTCAATCTTTTCATTCCGTTTTCTCATTCGCTTTCTTCCTCGTTATCCTCCTTTTCCTCCTTTCCCTATTTTATCATGTCTCTCAATATTTATGTCCCTTTCTTCAAATTATTAATCTCCATTTTCAATCTATGTGATCTATAAGCTTCATCCTCTATTCTGTTGAGCATAGATTTAACCATGCATATGGTATCCACTATCTCTTGCAATTTCATCATCATGTCCATGTGGTTTGAAGCCATTGTTTTTTCCGTGCTCAATGGCGCGAATGTTACGTTAAGCTAGTTATATTTAGGTCGCATTCGTCCACTAAGGCATGAGCGACGGTTAATTCCTCCACAAAGGGCTGATTGATCTTTACGAGATGGACGGAATAGTGCCCGTCATCCAACACTTTAATGCATACATAGTGTGCTAATTGATTATGTCAGTTTTCAGGGCGTATTGTTCCACGGGACATGTGGTGAGTGGGAATATACACACACCCACTCACTCTCATACTGCAAGCACAAAATGTCCGGCAGTATCAAGGCAGTGTCGGTATTTACAGGAGGATGGTACTGTACATCCAGGTTCATTTTGGCTCCTGTGTTTACCGAAATGTAAATTTTGTCGTCTTGACGTATTTATGAATTTCGAAATATTATTTGTAATATTTTAAGGAAGTTTTGGTACAGTGCACCAATCAAAGATATTTTAGTGGCAAGTTACTTAAAAAGTTAACATTTGCGGAGACGTATTTCAATTCTAATGGTTTCCACCTTTTGCGAGGGTGGGTCTGACTGCTTGATTTTGGAACTTTATACGTCTAACTTTGGGTCCTGTATCCTAATGATTAATGAATGTGCCACATTGAGCAGCTGGGCCTGGTGGCTTTGGATTTTAGCCAACTCATAAAGCGAATTTGGAGTCAACACTATGTTTAATAAGTTAGGTAATCGAGTCGTTGACAGTTTGTGTAGCTGGTCCTGATGGCTGAGATTCGAGCCACCATATAGTTTCTAAATTTACTGGTCCAGTTTTGTAAGCTTATGTTTCAATTGATCCACTATATCATGAGATATAGAAAGAAGAGGGAAGTTGTTAATAAGGTTGTATCTGTATTACGAGAAATTGCCATGGGGGGATTTGGCTGCCAACCACTTTGGGATTCCTGTATTTATGTTGGAATGCCAAACTCATCACATTTTTAATGTCGTCTACCGTGCCGTAGGGGGCAGTAGATGCAAGTATAGCATCGGCCCGCGCACTGGCAAGTAGATGATGAACCATACGCCACCTGTGGACCCACTGACCTCCTTGATACATCTACATAGAAGACGCGTATTTGAATTCAATGCATCCTGTATGAAGACGACACGAATTACATAATTTGATTGTGTAAGAGGTTGTTTCAATCATATAATGCTTCTGAAGCGAAATTAATGATGTGAATGATAGGTAAGAGGGAATAAATTATAAACTCTTTATCTATTTAGTGGAATTCCTGTACTTCTTTTTCATTGCTTGACAGATCACTCCTATGGTACTGCCTAAATTGCCACAGAGTGAACGTCTGACAGTTCTACTAATTTTATTATCCGTTAGTGTGAAGTTGGAAGATAAACAATATATGCAAGACTATATGATAAGAAACTAAACCATATCAATTTTGATCGATGTTGGAGTAGTATGAAAATTTTCCAGCCGCATCTATGTATCTCAGGAAGAGCATAATTGACTCGATTGTTCGGTTTGGATTTGGATTGCTCTGGTACAAAAATTCGGGATAGGAGTAGGGCAAACCAATGATTTTATGGGAGCTGGTTAGTTTTTCCTTTTTTTTTGCATTTGGGGCAGATATTGAACGCGTGTTGCAGATCTTCTTTGTAGTGGCAATAAAGGGAATTGGTACCTCTCTATACTGTGTTTTGTGTATTTCTCCATACCGCCTGTTATGCAAAATTCTTCCAGGTTGATTTTCTTATATATCGTACTGTATGTCTTTGGAATACTTTAGCAGATAAGAGTGAAATTTGGTCGTTGAGTATGGATTTTGCCGCCAAGTCGGCTTTGTAATTGTGTAATTGCCTGGTATGTTAATATTGGATGGGACCAACATGAATTCCACAATTTTGTCATGTTTCGTCGTGTTTTGAAAAAGCAATTTTGTTTCATTTATGAGGTTTTCTCGCCCCGTTGTGTCTCCCCTTTCCAGGGATTTTAAAAACTTAGTGAATTGCTAATCAATATCTCTTTGAGAAACTTAAGGTTGTTTGTCACTTGTATTGCTTCAAATATGACCCAGAACTCTGATGTGTATAAAGAACAATTATCGGGGAGTCTGGATCGAAGTTTTTCATCTATTTCTGGGATAGTTACGGCTGCAGAAGTTCAGTTTATGTTGTTTGATTTTGATTCATGTGTGTAAATTTTGACATATTCTTTATAGGAGTTGTCAATTATTGTTAGGATACTGGATCTTGTCTCTAGCGGTTGGTCCTGTTTGTAGCCAAAGATTGTTGCTAGGAAGTTTATAATTTGCTTTTTGCATGTCCATGGGATAGAGTCTTGGTGTTGGATGGTTCCTCATGAAGGTTATTAATATTTAATTCCTTACTTAATGTGTGTTTCTTATTTCTGATGGTGGGATAGGAACGAGTTTTTTACTAAACGGGATATTATATTCTGTTGAAGATGTCTCTCGTAGAATGTGATAGATCATGTACTTAGATTCTTGCTTTATATCTTAAAATCTGTTCTTGTCTTCTCAGTACGAGCGGTGTGAATATTTTCAATTTTTCTTTATATGTGTTCTAGAGGGAACCTGTACATATACGTAACCCTTCGGATTGGATTATGTTTTGCCGTTTAATGAGAGTTGGCTTGGCTGATGCGTTGATCTGGCATACATAGTCAAATTTGACCTTATTATGGACATGTAAAAGCGTTACAAGCGTGTCTTGGCCGACTCCCAATTTCAGTCATTTGATATTTGTAAGAATTTCAAGGTTGCCATTAAATTTCCGAAATAGTTTAGTAATCTGATATTTCCATGTGAAGTGCTGATCATAGTACATGTCCAATAATTTTGCTATTGTCTCAAATTTCATAGGTTCTCCTTCTATGTACATGGGTTAGGGGATAATAAAACTCATGTTGTCTTTCCTTCTGATAGTATTAATCCACATTTGTCAGCCCATGTACCAATTTTTGTTAGATACGTTTTATAAATAAACAATGGATGGGTTACCCGCTTTCCATATACTATTGTCGTCAGCAAACTGTGATAATTCAATGTTGCTAAGATCAACGGCATGTTCTAGGTCGTTGATCATAAGGTTAAAAAGGGCTGGACTCAACACACTTCCTTGTGGGGTACCGTTCTCTAGTTCGTATTTTTATGAATGTTGGTTCCCTATTCTGGTTCTGATTAGTCATCCTTTTGAAATGTTTTGAATCCGTTTGTGCATACGACCATTAATCCCGTAATGGTTCAGCTTAGAAATAAGGTCATCGGTTTTAAAACTAGTCTAAAGGCTTTCTCTAAGTTACGAAATATCGCTAGCTGTTGATCGCATTTTCGTTTAGTGTTGAATGCTAGTTTGATGCATGATTTAAGC